GATAAAATACTGTCCATAAAACAGTGTAATATTTTCTTATTAAAAAGTAGCATAAGGTAAATATATGATAAATTTCTCATTGCCGATAAATGAAGTTATCATAATTCGAATGTATGGTTGAGCTAAACATAGGGTTATATCATTTGCTTAAGGATAAATATACCTTTCTTTCTGATGGAGTTTCGTTCTCCGAATTGGATGGCTTGATCGTGAAACTTTCATTGTCCTTCTGAACTACATCATCAGCACATACTTCAGGTAGAATTGAAGTGTTCGAATCTCTCCACATATGGTTCACAGCTTGTTCTGTAGACCTTAATGTTGATTGGTTCTTGTCGACCTTTAACCTGTCAATGTTTACTTCTTTGCTTTGGTTTTATCTCCCATTAGTTTGATTTTTGGTCCTTTGTTTGTCCATGATTTTCCTGACTGGTTGATAAATGGGATCGATTTCAATGTGATTGTTGATTGCCGATTGACCTGAGTGCCAAGCTTCTAAAAATTCTCTGTTTTTTTTAGAATTGCATCTGTCCAAGATTTCCACATTTTTTCTAGTTGAATATGTTTCCGCAGTTGTCCACGTGGATTGATATAAGTGAGAGCACTTCACTTCTACCTGAAGTTTGTAATGATGATATCGTTCAGAAGAACGATGAAAGCCCAACGACTACTAATACGTTTATAGCTGTTATCACTTAGTCAGATTAGTTTGCTAGATAGAAATAATATCAAATATTATGAAACCTTTTTACAACTTACAGGGCGTAAAAATAAGAATGTCACAAATTTATGAAATAAATTTTCATATTTTACAGTAACTTAGCAATAAAATGTTTTAGATAATAATGTGTACTTGTGGTCAGCAAACTGTACTACTTGGTTTAAGTCGTATAAGATTCTGATAGTTTGGTTAATATTGGTGATTGAAGTAGAATTTATACACTCTTAATATTCTCACTTTTACTGAAAATTTTAGCCAATAATATTTTTCGGTTGTGGTATGATGACTTTGGAGACGATTGATAGAATATTCCACACCTAAGCTTTGAAGTATTTATTAAAATGATGTTCAGAAGTTAAATTTGACCAGTCATTGCTTACACATCTCATTCATAAACCTTTAAAAATGACAGACATTTTGTAAACAGTTGAAACAAAGTTGTAAATAAAAATAACAAGATAATTAAAACTGTTAATAGTAATATAAAACATTATACTTAATGAATAGGTTGGTGGTTATTTTGACTCAGTCGCACTGTGCGTAGCACGGTAATTGAAGTTCATAATAACAAATATGAGTCTCAATGTGAATGCAAACACTGAGATATAAGGAAGTCCAGCTTATAAGTGATAAACTGGACGAAATGCGTATCCTTTATTCTACTCCTAGTTATGATCCATATTTTAGGAAAATGTTAGCTAGTTAGTCAATAACGCTCCATATTAAGATGGTGAGTGACTTGAGTTTGGATCTATGAAGGCATACTAATTCCTTCAAGAAGAATTTCAATGAGTAACAAATAACTTGAGATTTCGATAGAAAACATTATTGTATCTAATAGTCTATAATAATTATAATACCATTCCACTTAATATGATAAGCTTATTACAGAATTAATCGATAGGATTCGGTAATCACTAGTAACTATACTGTATTAAGTAAATAACTATTCAGTAGTCAGTACGCTCAATTACAAATCAATGAAATAGCTAATTATTATGTTTAATTAATTCATTTGATAATACATGTACTGAGACAAAACCAAGGTAAAAAAAGGCAAATATTTAAGTTATATAACAGTGATTTTTTAAACTACAAATAAGAAAAAATTGTTTCAGACTGAATTATTTACAGAAGGTAATAACAATAAATGTTGTAAATGGTGACAAGCAATGTAGTGAACGAAAACACAAGTGGGAACAGCCGAATGTATTTAAGTACACAAATTAGAGAACGTCCATCAATCATCTCAGACTTCATTGTTTATTTGCTTACCCATCAATCATTTTTTGTTTCCATTCTCTTTTCTCCGAACTTTTTAATCTGCTGCCGCCAGGTATTTCACTTTCGATTCATGATACATACTACTTATATCTGTCGACATTAGTAGTACATACCACAGCAATAATCAGTTGGAAAGTCGATTTAGTATTCTTTAGCTTTCTAAATTATTTCCTCCACATTGTATACTTTCATATCTTGAAACAAAAAAGAAATTTTATATTCTCCTACTATTCTAATTTATTATTTTTTTGATTGAGATCATGAACCGATTGATGTTAGACCACCATTGAAAACCTGGAAGCACTGGACGGCCGTTTCAATGGTGGTCTAACATCAATCGGTTCATGATCTCAATAAAAAAAGACTTAACAATCTCCACAACCACTATATTGATAATTAACATGTGCTCACTAGTGAATAGCTTCGTGAGAAAATTCTCGGAGTTCTGGTGGGAAGCCGTGACCAGTGGAGCTAGTCCGTGTCGGGTAGAAACAGTTATCTACCTCAGTACAATGAAAGATGGTCGCGCAATTTCATGGATTGGTTGAGGTTAGACATTAACACCATTGGATGCCGGCTCAGTGGTCCAGTAGGTTAAGCGTTCGCGCGCGAGACAGAGGGCCCTGGGTTCGAATCTTGTGAGGCGGGATGGTGGATGCGCACTGCTGAGGAGTTCCACAATAGAACGAAACGGCTGTCCAGTGCTTCCAGATTTTCAATGGTGGTCTAACATCAATCGGTTCATGATCTCAATAAAAAACTTGACAATCTCCACAACCACTATACTGATATTCTGATTTATTATAGATATGTTGTGAAGAAAAAAGAACATAGACAAAATTTTGTAAATCAGTTACAATCTTTACTTAGAAGATAAACAAATCAACTTAATAAATAATCTAACAAACCAGATTTTTTTCTATCTCATTTGAAAATCTTTAATTCCAATGTTTTGTATGTTTACATAAGTTTTTTGTGACTATTCTGTAAGTTATGAAAACACTTGAAAATCAAATGGATGATCATAATATTCTTTGCGTACTCCAAACAATATTAATGTAACAGAAAGAGATCTCTAGTGACAACGTATAATTAAAGTGTGTAGAATTCAAACAATAAACGAATATTTATGCGTAACTATGTAGTATATGCTACTTATGTTGACAGACATAAGCAGTATGTAACATAAGTCGGAAGTGGAAACTCTAACAGAAGAAGGCTAAGACGTTCGAGTTGAAGAGAATGGAATTGAAAATAGGAAGAAATTATGAACTGGAAGAATCATACAGAATGTGAAGGACAAATGACGGAAATTTGAAAATGAAGTATTTGGTGTATCGTCCTTATATTTTACTAGGATACTCTGTAGTTTTGCATTAAAGTACATTGGTTGACCCCATCTGTGTTCTCGTTCACCATAACTGGATATACTGTTCTTCTAACTTCAGATTTTATGGAATAAACTCAGAAATTTAGATACTTATATTTCTCTTTTTTGTCTTAGTGATACCAATTTCAAAGGCTTTTACACAAAATTTTATCTATAACCTTAATTGTAATTCATGCTTTTTCTCTGTACTACACTCAGCTAGTCAGGTCATACGTCATCTGTGACAAAAATCTTCCATTTTTAGAATTCTATTTGTATGCCTTCCTCAATTCTATTTTCAGTAAACCTATGAAAAAGTAAACATTTGCTTCAACGATTTTTAAATTTTTCCACAACTATTAACTTTCATAATTCTACGTCTACGTGTCAAATGTAACTTTATTCGGACTTATTCTGATATGAAGCAAACATGTTTGTTTTTTTACCGTTAGTATTATTGTTTCTAGGTTGTATTATTCTGCTACGATTATCATTCATGTTCATAAAAATGAAGAAAAACTGTATAAGATGTTACGTTTGTTTCAGTACTGAATGACAATTAAAATTATATAGATCAAGACTGTTGTAAGGGTACAAATTGAAGTTATCTGACATTCTGATTCACAAAGTTACTTATTAAGTTGTCGAAGGTAATTGACAGTATGGACTGAATTAAAACAAAATCAATTTTCAAGACAAAAGTAATCTTCTTGTACGCTTCGAATTAACCAAAATGAATTATATTGATTTCTTCGGCTTCATTATTTTCCCACAGTACCCGTTAAAATGGACACAAAAATTATACTAAAACATTGATTGTTAATATCATATAGTTCTAATAAACTTTGCCAACTTTTTATATAAATCTATATTTATCAAAGAAACTAACTAATTTAAATGATGATAACGTTTACATTTGTTCAGAGTTTATGTTTTCTCAAAATATCATTACCTTCCATTAACAGTACAATTTTTTTTTGTTTACCAAGTAAAGATAACGTGAGAAATAATCACTATAGTTAATTTACTTTCAGATTAACATTAATGATAGTTTTAAGATCGAAATTCAATTATTATATTAAAATCAGGTTCATTATTCTGTTAGAGGATTTCTTGTTATTGCAATAATAAGTTACTAAGTATCATTTTATTTTATTTCATGCTTGATGAGTCAAATTTTTTTTTATCTTCATTCGATGTTAACTTTTAGTTTAAGATGTTTGGTCTTAGATTAGTTCAAGTTCACATTCAGTTAGCTTCTTGTTAATAAACATTAATATTATGAAATGTAAATAAAAGAAGTGTGAACCATTCAAATATTTTTTACCATATACTGGTTTTAGCTCGAAAGCTGACTAAATATAAGGAGCAATTGACATATGTTTCGTTTTGGCTTAGGACTTTTCAATTATTCTTACTTAAACTAGTCATTAACAAAGTAGAAGTCAACGAAGCACTACCTGAATTTGGGCGATTCACAACCAACTGATGGGATGTGTCCTCAAAAATCAAAAACCGTTACATAAGTCGTAAAATTAATTTTATAAAGTTATTTATGAAAAGTGTATTATTTTATACTTTATTAAATTAGCCAATAATTATTTATTGTATATTTTAACTTTCTAGGTGTTTACACACTATCTGATGAGAAACGTTTAATTAAACGTTTATTAAACAAATATCAAGCTGCAGGAATAACTGGTCGTCCAGTAAAGCATACATCGGAAAAAGTTCTTGTGGAAATGTCTCTTTCATTAATACAAATATTGGATTTAGATGAAAAAAACCAAGTATTAACTACAAGTGTATGGTTAAATTATGTAAGTGTTATTTTATGGTATACACTTAAATTATAATGAACTTTCATGTTATTTCACATATTGTTTACACTTATTATATGTAGTAGTTAACATTTCATGAACCAATTTTATTTGAATAAAACTTGTTTTCATTTAGGGGATGAAATAAAATAGACACAATAAAATTATGCGGTGCATAGAATTTTTGGGAAATAGGACATCTCTTAATAATGATAATAATGGCAGGTAATAACTGTTATAACTTGAATACGACAATGTGTAACTTTTCATTTACTATGGTTAAAGGTGGCGGTTACAAATCAAATCAAAAAAATTGATCTAATAATTTCACAGTATTCGGGTGCCGAGTTAATGTGAGATATTAAAGAAAAAGAATATATTTGTAAAATCTCAGTGAATGAATTTTGAAGTAAATCAAACGTTTCGCCCGGCAATCTGGTCCAAGCTTTCCTTGGAAAAGCTTTCATGTCTCAAATAAAAAAATGTTTACAAAAAGAAAAACCTCTAATATCCACTTCATTACTAATAATGATCTTTGGTGGTCTGATGTCTGGCTCCAGTAATATCAGGTCATTAAAGTAGTGAGCCCAACGACAAACCCAACATTGCAAACTATGTCGATGAAGAACCCTTCACATTCTATACTTTCGACGAATAACACAACGCAGCTTACTCAGTCGATAAGCTTGTCGATAATATCATCATATCACGACTAAACGGAGGTAATCAGGACGTATATTTCAATAACAATCATTCATACGATCTAAATGGAGTTAGGTATAGGGCCATTGAACATCTTTTTTCAGACCGGAATGGAATATTTCATTTTCTATATGTTTATTTATTACTGTAATATTTAGACGTAAGATTTTATTTAATAAAAAAGTATTTCAGCATTTCTAATTTCATTTACATGTAGGTTTTTTCTAACATTAAAAATGGAAAATTTGATTGCGTGATAATTCTGAAGATTTAGTTTTTCTCTTTATCATGATGAATAACTTGTTATCTGAGCTACCTGTTCCCGCCATTTGGCTATTTCAATAAGATGTCTGTTTCGTTGTTTGTTTTAACACATCATTATGCTTATTAGTAGCATAACCTATTCAGGTTTGTTTCTGAAAAGTTTACGGAATTTCGTTGTACGATTTATGAAAGAGCCCAGTCAGTGACATCGTGGTTGCTGACAACATACATCGAAAGGAACATACAAATGTCGATTCCTGAACTGCTAACATTTAACTGGCAACCACTCGATATTTACTTCAGGGATCGATCAAGAAATAAGAAAAGGAAACTTGTTGAAATACTTGGTGCTTAGAATTCTATAATATACCAAAAATATAATATTCAGTAAAGTCACTAATAATAATAAACTTTTATTCTTGAAAAACATCTTTCATTGGTTTGATATAATTTTATTTACATCAGTTTTTAAGTATACGATAGATAGATAGTGTTTGAAATCTTTTGAATGGAATGACCAATATCATACAGATATTTCTCCCTAAGACGAAGTTACCCTAGATGCCGACTAAAGTTCATTTTATTGTGAGCCAAAAGGTAAAAACTGATTCACAAACAATCCTAGTAGCAAACGTCAAAAGTACCAGGAAGTATATATAATATAATATATAATATTTTACTAAAAATCCAGAAAATAATAAGGGGAACAGTGAAAAAAGTAGAGGTTATATACAAGAACCAAAAAGTCACCAGAGGATATATTAGATAATGGCTAAAATAGTTAACTTACTTAAATAACAAATCATGAAGAAAATTGTTTTCCATTTTAACAAACACGTAAAACCTAGCGACATAAAATAAAAAACGCTCATCAAGATAAATACCACAGATCGTGTTTTATATAACTGAATCACTAATATTACGGAAGTCATGTGACTCCATAAAGATTTTCAACTTCTTTTCTTCAACAAATATTAAGTTGAAAGTTCAATATTTATAGGATTTGAGCTAGGGTTATTCAACGTTCATGAATAAAATCTTGTATTGGTTTATCATAATTATATTCACAATAATTTCTCATTATACGATCTACATTTCAATTAAAAATATTATCATGTCAGAATTGAAACTGTAATTTGTCTTATTAAAGTACCATGTTCTATACTTTCTTTGAAAATACTTTTTTACTTAAAACCATTTTCGATTCTAATTAATACATGATCTTTAAACGAATACTATGTTGATAAAATAAAGGGTTAACCATGCTTCCTATGAAAACACTGTCAATATAGAAATTCATCATGAACATGTTTATACTTATAATATGGGATTAGATCATATTTTCTTAAATTACCAATATACTGACATGTAACCTTAATCATCAACTAATTATCCAAAAAAATTATTAGTTTTTAACGTTACTTATTTATATTCTCCTCTTAAATTCATTTATCATATCAACAAGAGTTCATGATAAGAATTCAAATCGAGTTATCAAATTAAATGACATACACACAGTTCCCTTTATTATCTTACAGAGAGCAAGAACAAAGATTGGTGCAGAATAATATGAATTCATTTTATTTCGTTAGGTTGTCATCAGTTGCTTACAACCTAAAATATTTAAAATTTAACATTATTACAGATATTGATATATTTATACATAAGAGGGTGATTAAGGATGAATAAATGTATCATGGTGTAGCGAAGATTCCGATAGAGTTAATGAGCTCATAAACTTTTGTCTCGAATAAATAGAGTTTGAAAGTGAAAGTTCCGGAACATTGAAATAGTGATTAGAACTCATGAAAATAGATTAATGGTAATAAAGGAAATATGAATTGAAATCAGTCAGTTATGTATAATGTAATTTAAACTTCAGAAAGAGTTGGAATAATGACGCAATAAATAAATAAGTAAAGAAATAAATAAACGGAAATAAATGAATAAAAAGGGGGCTATTGTTACCAGCGTAACGAAAGATTAATTACTGTCTCTTTTTGTATACATAGGTCTGGTTTTAGACGTTTGGTTACTAATGCTTCAGTAAATTTCAGAAGGTTGGAGCTTGATTGTTTATTAATCACCTTGAAGGACTTCAGTGTATCGACTTCGTGTCCTGTGTCAATGCATGAATTCATATTATTCTGCACCAATCTTTGTTCTTGCTCTCTTTAACGAATTAAATTAACCTAACTGTAAATAGTATCTTAGCATGATACCGTAAATTAAGTTTTTCTCATCAGAAACTTTAATAAATTTCAAATTTAGAAGAAAATGATACCTTGAATTATTTTAAAGTAAAATATTTGTCAAACTAAACATCATTTATTGTTAGATGGTGGTTGGATGTAGTCGACTGGAAACCCTGGACCTGGGTTTCGTGCTACTTGGTACTCGTCAGCAAGGTGTACCTGTAATCTTGAGGGAACTAGTGCTCCCTGGTGGATTCGATCACGCATCACCCAGCTTCACAGTCAGAGACATTACCACTGAACTATCCGAGCCGCGACCGACCTCCTGTAGGACTGAGATGTAATCACAATTGGTTGATCACCATCCAGTGATCAACACATTGTGATCACTTATTATCTATTTAATTACTCTGTTTCTCCCTCCATATATATATATCCATTCCAAGTAGTATCTAAATGTTTTTCAAAATAATAATCTTTGTTTTATCTTAATTTTTTTTAAAATATGATTTGTTAGTCAGATAAATAAATCCTATGAGAATTTAAAATAATTTTAGCATAGATATTGTTATCCAGTTAAACGATCAGTTAGAGAATAATTAAAAAGTTGTTCATATTTATAAACTATTAGCTATTCTGAATATGTTACACGGATACAAATATACATTAAATTATTGTTGGATTAAATGAAGATGAATAAAAGTGAAATTATAAAAAATGACAAAAAAACTTTTCTACTTTATTCCTATAATTTTTATCATAATATTTAAGATAACTATTTCAATGAAATAGAAAATGTTCATCATGATATTTTCATTCTGTAGTGGCTTTGCTTCTTTTATCAATCACCACGATAATCGTTATTATATAAAGCTCAACGATATTTAGAAATCAGAATGCAATGAGAAGCGGCAACCGCAGTTCATTAGCAGATAGCGCAGATTACAAAGCTATAAGCACATCAGGGTATATACGAGCAATTACATCGGTGAATTTATAGTCAAATTGCGTCAGGACACAACAAGGAAAAGCAAAAGCTGATAAATAGGATTTGAGTACATATATACATGGGGAGAAGGATGAATCATTGAGTGATATTTAAGCTATCAACCTTTTAGATAGATTCTGTCATGTGATTTAGTGATCATAACGGTACAAAGAAATATACTGTTCAAATAACATTGTTTATCAAGTTACTAAATGGGCTTAACTAAAATTAACCATAATCGAAACGGGTTGTAGATAGTTGCTATAATACATCAAATTCATGGAAATTATCCTTTCACATTGAATATGATATAATAAAGTAAACTTTTCCATGGAAATTATTCAGTAAATCTTAATGTAGTTATCACAGATATTTCTAGAATCCTACTATTATACTTACATTATTTATTTTATTGAACAATGGAATTATTATTTATATTACAAATGAAGTAAACTTTGATCAAATTGTTTGAATGTATTTAAACAATGAAATTAAATAGAATAAATTCAAGTTATGGAAATAAAGACAGTCAGATGATTTATATATTGATCAAATTGCATCACTTTACAAATGAGATGATTACTACTTCACTGAGTATATAGTAGGTCAAGGTAGATAATGAGTGAATTTTATTACTTTCGATGCAAAGCTTCACTTATTTTTATCCATTAAACTGTTGTTTCTCTGATTCGAAGAATATGAACATTTACTCTCGTATAGTATATAACTATAGGTATGCGATATTATTAAATTTAACTAATTAATATTGATCTTAAATTTCTTATTGACTACATAGGTTTAAAACTACTACATTATCCACTTAAGAATAGCGAAAAATACTTAAAAACATG